AATTTAACACAGTGGAAGAAGTTGACTGTCATGTGAGCATTCAAAGCAAAGAAATTGTTCTTATCAACACACCAGATCTGCTTCATTCCAGCATCTCTGAAGACAAACTAAGAGGACATGTGGAAAAGTGTGTGAGGCTCTCTGATCCTGGCCCTCATGTGTTCCTACTGGTCATACAGCCTGAGGACTTCACAGAGGAACACAAACTGAGGCTCTGTGAAATCCTGAACATCTTCAGTGATTATTCTTTTGACCATTCACTGGTTCTGAAATCAACGCCCAGAGCAAAGTCTCGCATGTACAGTCAACCTTTAGAGGACTTGATCAGAAAGTGCAGACGTCAATCTCTGAGACGGAAATTCCTTGAAGTTCATGAGTTGCAGTCAAAAATTAAGGAAATTATAGCGCATAATGATGGAAATCATCTGATTTGTCATCCAAGCACAGCTGGAGCCCCTGTTCGTAAGTCTATAAAAATATTTTGTAATAATGTTAAAAGTTTAAATCAAATTGGTCACAAGTTTTTAATTTTAATGAATTTGCAAGAATTTCAAGCTTTCACCTTGTCCTTATGGAGCATTGTGTGTTGAATTTTGATTAGAAAAATGATTTTAACCCATTGTGAAGTGATGCTGTATGAAATGTGGAACAAGTGATGTGCTGATATGCTCTCTAGTTAGTAAATAATATAAATTTTTCATTTATAAATGTCAAGTCAGTGCCAATAACTACGTAACCTTCACTGTAACACCCATATTTTTAACTGGAAATACACAGTACACTGGAGAGTACTGTTAGATAAAAAAGACACTGTCCACCAAAAGTGTTCAACATCTGCTTCATCAGTTCCTTTCTTTACTGAAGTAAAGTTATGATATTTTCTGGTTTAATTAATGGAACTAAAACTGAAAGAACATTTTACCATTATATGTATACAGTTATAATTTAGTGGAAGTCCACTAAGTAAACCTTTAAAACCTTCTGTCCCAGAACATGTAAAACAAAATAAAAACCTCTTCTAAAACATAATCAGTCTTTGCATTGTACACTGTCCAGTCTGTTCTTGTTTTTCCACCTCATAGATTAGAAAAGCCACATGAAGCAGAGGCTGATTTAATGTTGTAATAGAAAGACATAAAAACATAAAAGAGAGTGAAGCATGAAATTATATACAAACTCTCAGACACACATGTTTCATATAGAGTTCTTGTAAAATATATTTGACTGAAGTATTTAGTGCAATCAGTCTACTTTTCTTAACCTTTGAAAGTAATTCTTGTTTTTTTCTTCATAGAAAATGGACTCAGGATTATGCTCTTTGGAATGAGCCACAAAAAGAAAACATCACTCTTTAATTTTATCAGAAATGTTAAAGAATCAGGCTTTCCAAGAATTCTTCGAACCAGTCAAGTTTCCCATCATGGAGAGTGGAGAGGAAAACCATTAATAGTGGTGAAAACTCCCGACATATTCACTCTGCCCGTGGAGAGGGTAAGAGAGGAGATTAGGAGCTGTGTGAGTCTCTGTCCTCCTGGACCAAATGTTCTGCTGCTGTTAGTGAAACCTTCTGATTTCACTGAGGAGAACAGAAAAACT